GAGGCAGGAGCGCGCCGGCCTGCAGGACCGGAAGCTGGACGTCGTGGTGCGCTTTAACGGCAGCACCGAGGCTCTGGACAAGCTGGACTCCGACGCCGTGTCGCCGACGGTCAGCCAGCTCAGCGCCGTCTTTGAGAAGGCCGACTCGAGGACCGGCCTCCACCGCGGGCCCGGGCTCCCCAGGGCCGCGGCCGCCGGGGCTCCCCAGGTCAACTCGAAGCTGGTCAGTAAGCGGTCCCGGGTGTTCCAGCCTCCGCCTCCACCTACCGCCCCGTCGGGGGATGCCCCAGCCGAGAGAGAGCGCGGCCCCGGGGGGCAGCAGCCCCCGCAGCACCGAGTGGCCCCCGCCCGGCCGCCCCCCAAGCCCCGGGAGGTGCGCAAGATTAAGCCGGTGGAGGTGGAGGAGAGTGGGGAGTCGGAGGCCGAGGCTGCGCCTGGGGAGGTGATCCAGGCGGAGGTGACGGTCCACGCGGCCTTGGAGAATGGCAGCACCTTGGCAACCACAGCCAGCCCCGCACCCGAAGAGCAGAAAGCCCAAGCAATCCCCGAGGAAGAGGCGGCGGCCGCGGTGGCGCCTGAGAGAGGGGTGGGCAATGGCCGGGCCCCGGATGTGGCCCCGGAGGAGGCGGATGAGTCCAAGAAGGAGGACTTCTCCGAGGCAGACTTGGTGGACGTGAGCGCCTACAGTGGGCTGGGGGAGGACTCTGGGGGCAGTGCCCTGGAGGAGGACGATGAAGACGACGAGGAGGATGGGGAGCCCCCCTATGAGCCCGAGTCGGGGTGCGTAGAGATCCCTGGGCTATCGGAGGAAGAAGACCCGGCCCCAAGCCGAAAGATCCATTTCAGCACAGCGCCTATCCAAGTAAGTGAGCCCCCCTCCCCGCCCCCGCGCCGTTTCTGCCACGTGCACGCTGTCGCCCCCACCTCGACCGTGGAGTTTGGCAGGCAGAGTCAGCCCACGCCACTCAGCCCCCTTCCCAGAAGTTACCACCCTGAGGTGTGTGTGGGGTGGGGGGAGTTCCAGCTGTTTGTCAGAAGGGGACAATTTTCAGGCCTTAGAGAGAGGTGGCCTGTCCCGACCTGCCCTCCAGATCCTCCGTCTGCTGCCCCGCCCAGGGCTCACGCCACACCCGCCCTGCCCCCACAGGGGTCCTAGGGCACCTGCTTTCCCTTCCATTCCCATACATTCTTCCTCCAGAGGTACCAGAGGCAAAGGCTTAGGTGGTGGGAAGGGGTGTGTGTGTGTGTGTGTGTGTGTGTGTGTGTGTGTGTGTGTGTGTGTGTGTGTGTGTGTGTCTGTCTGTCTGTCTGTCTGTCTGTCTGTGTTTGTGTGTGTCCACAGGAGAGCCTCTCCACATTGGTCCTTACCCCAGTCTGGGCAGGAGGGGGTCAGGGGAGCTCAGAACACCCGTTGTGTTCCCCTTATATAGGAGCAGTATAGGATGTGGGAGGGAGGAGCCAGGAACTTCCCAAAACTAAGGTGCAGGGGACCCTAGCTCTTCCTCCATCCTGTCTATAGCCCCCACACCAACTTTGCAGAAGTGAAAGAGGGAAGCAGTTCTTTGAGGGTGAGCTGGACTGGGGTCATGTGACTGGGGATGGGGGGAAGGCCAGTGCCAGGGCCCTGTTTCTTGGGGTCTGTGTGAGCCAGGGGGAAGTGTTGGGTTCCACAGGGAGTAGGCACTTTGTGTGGCCCTTGAGGGGGCTAGGCCTTAGCAAGTCAGGGAGGAGGTGGTGAGGCTGAGACCCCCCCCCCCCAGGGGACCTGGCAGCTCCCTGCATGCCTTTGCTCTTGACTGCTTAATACAACAGACTCCCATGGCCTTGGCAGGCCCCAAATGCTCTTGCCACATTCTCTGAGAGCCCTGAAAGAGGGATGGGATCTGCTCCTTTTTTAGGGTTTCAGCTTGCCCCCTCCCATTCCCACCACCACCCTTGGTGATTGCTTTGTAGATTGTGTCAGTGCCCTGAGATCCTCAGAACAGTGCTGGGGGGTGGGGGGGGTGGCATTCCCTGGGGAGACTGAAGAACCTCAGGCTACACCTCCCCCCATTTTCTTCTACCCTCCACTTTTGACTGGTACATTTGGCCTAGATGGCCCTTTCTGACCACCCCTAGTTCAGTTATGAGGTCCCATGCATGGGGCTGCCAGGTCCCTGGACTTTCCTTAGCCTGGACCCTGCCTCTACCCCTCCCTAGTCAAACCCTCATCTGTTTGCTCTGTTTCCATAACAACTCATAGACACTGAAGCTGGCCCAACTTCCTCTCACTTGCCAGAGTATCATAATCTTTGTCCCTCTCATCAAGAGGCCTGATAGGTGCTCTTCCCACCAGGCCAGCCCCTTCCCTTCCCCAGCTGCGACCTTACAAGTCTTTTTCCAACCCTTCACTCCTCCCAAAGCAATGAGATCCTAGAGGGAACTGAGGATTATGGTGTTTCTTGGGATGCTAAGGAAGGGGGGGACCACTGAAGAAGTCAGGACCCCACCACCACCACCAGCTCTGTGAGCCACCTGATCCCCTCAGAGGTGGAATTTTGTCTTTCAGTCCTGGGCCTCTTACTGTCTATATTTGACACCTTACCCTGATTTTTGGGTAAAAAATAGCGCATGATTTGGAGCAGTGCTCCCTGACTCCCTGGTGACTGTTGCTGGCTTGAGTGTGGCAGCCAGTGTGTCATGTGGTCCTGCCTTATTGTGTCTGACTTTTGACCTTGGGGACTTCCTCCTCCCTGCCCTCGGCAGCAGTCCCCATTTTTTCCCCTTTCCCTGCCTCCACCCTGCATTGATACTAAGTCCAGGGCCTTGTGTCCCGCTGATGACCCAGTTATTGCCTTTATGGAGGCTTGTGCTGAGGACAGAGATCCTAATTCCAGATTGTCACTTGGGGCGGAGGACTTGGCCCAGGGCTCTCTGATGGTCTGGTCACATCATGGTGGGCAATGTGAGGGGTGGTCTGGGATCTCTGAGCCTGGGGCCTGAGTTTCCTGCAGGGGGCAGGATTTAACAGACTGAGAAAAGATGATAAGGGCAAAACGCAGGACAGGCTGTGAGGGTGTTTAGGTGGTCACTGTGTGTGTGCACACACACGGGCACATGTGCATGGGGGGGGAGGGTTTGGTGACCCAGGCTACCACAAAGACTGAGTGATGAAGGGACCCTGACTCAGATGCAAAAGTGGGCCAAAGCCAGTTTGCCAGGTCTAGGCTCATACCAGCTCCTGTCCTAGGCTGAGACATGTGTGCAATGGGGACAAAGTCACAGGTGACCCACCCACCAGAGCCCAGCTGGGCGCAGTCTCATCCTGCTTTACCACTGGCTAACACAGGGTAGCGGACCTGGCATCTTGTACCATGTGCAGACTGGGTCACCCTCCTTCCAGGGGGCTTGGAGGCTGTTGGCCAGTTGTCAGGAGGGCAGTCCAACTGCCTGCTGCACAATTGATGATGAGCTTTAAGGGCCTGAGCTTGAGTTTCTTGGATGCTGTGAAATTGAGGGCAATGAGTTAAGTGGCTACATAGCTCCCCTCCCCCAACTGTGCTTCTAATCCTGTGAACCTTATCCTGGGAGTGAGCCTCTGGCGTGGGGAGAAAGGACAGAGGAACCCAAACTAAAGCTGGGGCACAAGAGTGCTGCTGCCTGCCGTGTGTTCATGGGACCTTATCCTGGAGGAGAGGGGGCCCTGGTGGGGGACCTCGGAGGTGACAGTGCCCCACTCCAGCCATCTGAGAGAGCTACTCCCATCCTTTCTCACCCCCACTTAGCTCCAAGTGGTGTCAACCCGTTGTGGAAGCAAGCACGAACAAGTCATGGTACCCTAAATGGTGCTCATTAACCTCCCACTGGGGGCTCCCCTGCCTGGGCCCAGAATTAGGCTCTCCCACACAGTCCCTGCCCTATCTTCTCTGTTCCTTGGAGAAGGGTCAGGCTGGGGAATCCCTCTTTTTGGTGAGAGACATGGGCAAAGGAAGACAGCAGAGGGGCACAGGGGACAACAAGGCAGATCTCGCCTTGGGGCCACCATGAAAGCTGGGTTCACTGTAGACAGTGTCAGAGAGGCTGCCACTTCCGCCATATCCTTGTCTCACCAGGGCCCGGTGCACTGGTGATAGGGTCCACCCTCAGAGAGCTGTGGTCCTCGAGGGAGACTGAGGCCTGGCCATGCAGGCAAGGCCATAGGTGTTCTCTCCCTCTCCTACCATCTGAGGGGTGACTCAGGCGGAGGCCTGCCCTTCCTCCATGAGGACAGAGGTTGTCCTTCCTGCATCCCTTCCTCACCCCGGCCTCAACTTCAGGTTCAAGTCAGCTGGGTCCTCTCCATCCCTGTTTCTCCTGCTCCCCTCCCCCTCTCTGTGTCTCACACCCCCTCCCTCCTCTCTCCCCATCTGGCACCCTCCAGCATCTCCATTCTTTCTCCCCTCCTCCTCTTTCCCTCTCCTGCTTAGCCTTTTCCTTCTGCTATCCTGCCCTCTGTGATTGTCTATGTCTGTGTCTACCCTCACCTAGGTCTGACTCTCCCTCACCTCTCACTTGCTATTCGCCCGTCTGTCTGTCTTCCTCTGGCCTGGGGACCTGGGTTCCCAAGTCTGAGTTTCTCCAGCATGGCCCTTCCTTTCCTTATACAGAGGGCCATGCTTATGCCATCAGGGTTGTAGAAGAGAATAATGGTGTGCGTTGGACAGGCTACGTCCCTTTATATCTTGCCCCATGGGCTCCAGAACTAGAACGGCCTTCAGTCCAAGCTGGGGTTATCGAGGGGCTGGGGGAGGCCTTATCTTGACCTGACTGGAGGGTGGAGGAGGCTGTGGCAGGAGGGGAGCATCACTGGGTGGCACAACCTGCCCTCTTGGCCTCCCCAAGCCAGTTCTGCTCTTTCCCCCTGACAAGTGGTCCCCTCCCCAGGTGTTCAGCACCTACTCAAACGAGGACTACGATCGGCGCAACGAGGACGTGGATCCCATGGCAGCCTCCGCGGAGTATGAACTGGAGAAGCGGGTGGAGAGGTTGGAGCTGTTCCCTGTGGAGCTGGAGAAAGGTGAGAGGCCAGGGCCAGGCCATGTGTGTCTCCTTTCTGGTGCCAGCTTCTGCCCTGGGCCCCTGTCAGCACCCCACAGCCACATGGACTCCAGTCTAGCCTCAAGCTCCCACCAGCAGTTCTGTGTGCTCCTTCAGTTGCCAGGTTCCTGAGGGCACTGTATGAGCTGTCCTGGGCTGTGTGTTGGCTAGAACTATGGGGGTGGCAGACATTGATGGAATAGTCACATCTAACTATGTCTTTATGGGCTGTAATAGGTGCTGGGGAGGGACAGGAGGGGCCAAAATAACAGCATTTTACAGTAGACCTGACCAGACTCGGGGGCTGGGAGGTTCCCCAAGGAAGTGATACTTGAGTTGAGCTTTGAAGAGGAGTTCGGGGGAGTGTGCGTGAAAGAGAGAATACAGGCTTGGCTGGGTTTGTACAGTGAGGGGAAGAAGGGTGTACAAGCAAGGCCTCGGAGACCATGTGAAGGACACTCTTTTTTCTAAGGTGCACTGGAAGTCTTTGCAAGGTGTGGGAAAGGTATTCTAGAAAGACCACTCCAGGCTGTGATCTGTGGAGAATGGTCCTAAGACTGGTGGTGTGGACAAGATGATGGCCATGCGGGAAGTAGGTGGACTTGAGAGATCCTGGGGAGGTAGAATCGGCAGGGTTGAGCGGTTGTTTGGCTTGGACAGAGGCTGTGAAAGGGAGGGAGGAGTCCAGGTGACTCCCAGGTCCCATGAGGGAGTGGCAGACAGGAAGAGCCTGTTTGTGGGGGAATACCATGAGTTTAGATGTAAGGGAGGGGGCTTCAAGGGAGAGAAGAATGGGAAGTCTTTGGTCATTGAGGCTGTGAGTGTGGATGAGACAGCTTGAAGAAGATTGAGCCCATTGCTGTGACCCCCCTCCATGCCCATTCCTCCACATACCCTCATCTGCACACACAGTAGTCTTTGGCCCACCCATGTGGGTCACCTTAGCAGGCCCTGCTGCCCATCAGTTCTGTGGGTGGACAAAGGTCAGGGAATCACCCAAGAGAATCCTAGTTGACTTGCCAAAGGGGGGATAGACAAAACCGTGTCCCTTCCCCAATTATGGAAAACTCCTAAGCATAGGGACTGTTCCTGAGGTAGGGCCATGCCCCAGCGTGGGGGTGAGGGCATCTCACTCTGTCCCCTGCAAACCCTGAACTAGAGCTTCTTGTCCTCCCCTTCTCCATGCCCCCCCATCTCACCTCTCTCTGCTCCACAGACTCCGAGGGACTCGGCATCAGCATCATCGGCATGGGGGCTGGGGCAGACATGGGCCTGGAGAAGCTGGGCATCTTCGTCAAAACTGTGACTGAGGGCGGCGCAGCCCATCGGGATGGCAGGTACCACCTCTCCCTTCCCCACCAGCCATCATCTGTAGGGTGCGATGGGCTACTACCTGTGTGGGGCTCAGATGTTCCTAGAGCAATACTGTGCCAGGTGCTGGTCTAGGCCTGAGGCTACAGCAGTGAACAAGATAGGTGGGACCTCCTCTCTCATGGCACTTGCATTCTAGGGGGGGCTGAAGACTGGGGCCGGTTTTGGGTTTTTGGGTGTGTGTTGAGCCGTGGTAGGGAGAGCATGAGCATGGAGGCTATGTACCTGGTGGAGTGGTGTATATTTAAGCATTCTCCATTCAGTAAATATCTAGTCCCTAACTCTGTCCTAGGGCTGGTGGCAGGCCCTGGGGAGTCAGTGATGAGGACCTTGCCCTTGCGAAACACATGGTGTGGTAAGGCAGACATTTAAGTGGACACAAAACGGTGAAAGGGAGGGAAAATTCAGGGTGCCATGAAGGCATAAAAAGGAGGGCTTGACCTTTCTGGGCATCAGGGAAGTTTTTTTGGAGGAAGTGACATTGGAGCTGAGACCTGAAGGATGTGCAGAAGTTAGCTAGGCTAAAGGAGTATTACGTGAAGGAGGTTCCAGGCAGTGCACCAAAAGCAGGCAGTTATGGTGGGAGCCTAAAGAACAAAGTGTATGGTGTGGCTAGAAAGGCTGGTGGGGGTGTGCCTAGAAAGGAAACTGCTCCTTGTATGTGTGTGCACATGTGTGCCTGTGTTTTGGCATCTGAGGCTGGAGGAGAAATGTGGGTCAGAAGGTTCTGGGAAGGCCTCTTGGAGTCCTGGGAAGCCCAATGACCCCTCTGTGGACAGCTCCACTGTATGGGTATTGCAGCAGGGAAGTAGGAGGGGCTTTGGGGCACCCCTGTAAGTTAGAGGTTGACATCAGGGATGCCTTGTGGTGGTACCTCCAAATGCAGACCCCTTCCATGTGACAGAGATGAGTGGGCATCCCTGTGAGGGCAGGATGACTTTGGGGTCATGTTACTAGAGGTGGGGTTTCCTCATTCAGGGGGCTTCTGCCTGCTGCAGCCCAGGTGGCATGGGGGGGCAGAGAAAAGGAAGATGAGAGCCCCTGCTTTTTCTTTTTTTTTTTAAAAAAATATATCTTTATTGATTTCAGAGAGAGGAAAGGAGAGGGAGAGAGAGAGATAGAAATATCAATGATGAGTCATTGATCGAGCTCACAACCCAGGCATGTGCCCTAACCAGGAATTAAACCCCGATTGCCTGGATCCTAGGTCGACGCTCAACCGCTGAGCCATGCCTGGCTGGGCCTGCTTTTTCACTTACCCCCCTCATTGGGACTTTACAGAACCCTTCCCAGAGTCACCTGGTCGGGGCTTGTGTGTGCATGTTAGAGAGTTGTGTCCACAAGCTCATGCCCACATGTGAGGCATGTGGGGGTGAAGTGTTTACAATAGGCCATGTCCTCCACTTCTGCACGGGAGTCCTGAGCGAAGGCCAGGAGCTCCAAGGGTGGTGGGAGTGGAAGAAGGAGGGGACCAAGGGTCTGCTCACTCCATGCCACTCAGCAGGCCAGGCTGGACCACCTCCATCTCTCTCCTTGTGTGGAGAACAGGGCTTCCGGTGCCACAGCTGGACCATGTTGGGGGCTGTGCAACTGTCAGGGTGAAGCGACCCAGTGGGACAGGGTGTGAATATGAGTGTGTGCAGCAGATCTCAAACATTTGGAAGGAAATCTTCAGACCAGGTCTGTGCAGACTTGTATGTGTAAGAAAGCTGTGGGCCTTGCCAGTGCGCATGGTGGTTATGATCTCTGTGGATGTCACACTGCTCTGTCAGGTGTGATGCAGGAGGGGACAAGGGTGTGATTATCATGAGACGAGAGCTTCCCCCACTACTGGTTCTGGACACCTATGTTTGCTTGCCCAGGTCTCACTGCCCCTACACTGGTGGGTATGGCTGATATCTGATCCTCAGGCTTCTTGCGTTTTATGCAGGTAGACAAAGTACCACGTCCCTGTGGGGACTAAGCCTCAAGCTTCTGATGGGAAGGGGGCCATCTCTACCTCAGTTCCACAGTTCCCCTCATGACCCCCCTAATCAATGTCACCTTCTCTAGGATCCAGGTGAACGATCTCCTGGTGGAGGTGGATGGAACCAGTCTGGTGGGAGTGACCCAGAGCTTTGCAGCCTCCGTGCTCCGGAACACCAAGGGCCGAGTGCGGTG